ATACTTTGTTCGTTAGATCCCAAATTTGAGCACATATTCGTGACGATTGAAGAAACTAAAGACTTGGAAGAAATGACGATCGACCAACTCCAAGGATCATTGCAAACATACGAAGAGAAGCATAAGGAGAAGCATAAGAAGAAGCATGAGTTTACTGAGAAACTCCTTAAGCTGCAACTCAAGGATATGCATGAAAGTCAACGCAATGATAGAAACCAACATGGCCTAGGCAGAGGTAAAGGCCATGGATGAGGTGGAAGTTGCGGTACGAGGCAAGAATTACAACAATAACAATTCCAACAACAACTATAAGAAAGGAGAAAGCTCAACACGAGACCGTGGAAGAATCAATCCGAACTCAAAGTATGACAAATCTCAAGTTCGATGTTATAATTGTCAGAAGTTTGGGCATTATGCTTCAGAATGTAGAGCTCCCAACAACAAAATTGAGGAGAATGCTAACTATGTGGAGGAAAAGACAGATGGCAAAGAAACTCTTCTTCTAGCACGAAAGGAAACTGATGGTGGCCAAGAAAATTCCTGGTATATTGACAGTGGAGCAAGCAATCACATGTGTGGAAGGAAAGATATGTTCGTGGAGCTAGACGAGTCAATAAGCGGAAATGTTTTATTTGGAGATGATTTCACAGTAGCAGTGAAAGAGAGAGGTAATATTCTTATCCGTTTGAAAGATGATAGACATCAATTTATTTCAAATGTCTACTATATGCCCAATATGAAAAGTAACATCTTAAGTTTAGGGAAACTGGTAGAGAAAGGCTATGATATTCATATGAACAATTATAATCTTTCTATAAAAGATGATAAGAATAACTTCATTGCTAAAGTACAGATGTCAAAGAATATAATGTTCTTGATCAACATACAAAATAATGTTGCAAAGTGCCTGAAAGCTTGCTATAAAGATGCATCATGGCTTTGGCATCTTCGATTTGGGTATCTCAATTTTGGAGGTCTACAGCTCCTATCTAAGAAGGAGATGGTGAAAGGACTACCTCACATTAATCATCCTGACCAGCTTTGTGAATGGTGTCTAGTCATGAAATAATTCAGGAAAAACTTTCCAAAGGAGTCAGAGACAAGAGCCAAAAAGCCACTTGAGCTCATCTATACCGATGTGTGTGGACCAATCAAGCCAAGCTCTCTCGGTAACAATAACTATTTTCTTCTATTCATTGATGATTTTTCAAGAAAAACCTGGGTATATTTCTTGAAACAGAAGTTAGAAGTTTTTGAATTCTTCAAGAAGTTCAAAGTAATAGTGGAGAGAGAAAGCGGTAGAAAGATTAAAGCCATTAGATTCGACCGAGGTGGAGAATTTACTTCCAGGGAGTTTCAAGAGTTATGTGAAGCAAATAGAATTCGTCGACCAATGACAATTCCTAGATCCCCCCAGAAAAATGGTGTGGCAGAAAGAAAGAACAGAACAATCCTTAACATGACACGAAGCATGCTCAAAAGCAAGAAACTACCCAAGGAATTTTGGGCGGAAGCAGTAACGTGTACAGTCTACTTAACAAACTGATATCCAACAAGAAGTGTATGGGGAAAGACACCGCAAGAGGCATGAAGTGGAAGAAAGCCTGACATTTCCCACTTGAGAATCTTTGGAAGTATAGCCCATGTTCACGTACCAGACGAGAGAATAACGAAGCTTGATGATAAAAGCGAGAGTTTTATCTTTATCGGCTATGATGCTAATTTGAAGGGATACAAGCTGTATAATCTAGACAATAAGAAGATTGTGATTAGTTGAGATGTGGTCTTCAACGAAGAAGGAGAATGGGATTTTAACTCTCATATAGATGACTTCAATTTCTTTCCTCAGTTTGAAGAAGATGAGCATACAATGAGAGAACAACTATGTGAACCTCAACAAGAGCTTGAAACTCCACCCATTTCACCAACATCAACCACTCAAGGAGACTCATTACCTTCGTCATTGTCAAGTGGGAGTCAAAGTGAAAGAGTTGTGCAACGTACAAGAAGCCTTAAAGATCTCTATGAGGCAACTGAATGATAAGATAATCTTACATTATTTTGTTTGTTTGTCGATTGTGAACCAGTAAGCTTTCAAGAAGCAATACAAGAAAAGAAATGGAGAGATGCGATGGATGAAGAAATCAAGGCCATCGAGAAGAATGACACATGAGAACTTACCTCACTTCCCAAAGGACATAAGGTGATAGGTGTCAAATGGGTGTACAAAACAAAGCAAAACGCCAAAGGAGTGATTGAAAGGCACAAGGTGAAACTAGTTACTAAAGGCTATAGTCAAAAGGCTGGAATTGACTATGATAAGGTGTTTGCTCCTGTTGCGCTATTGGAGACTATCAGACTAATCATTTCTTTGGCAGCTCAAAACAAGTGGAAGATACAACATATGGATGTAAAGTCTGCCTTCCTAAATGGAGTTCTTGAAGAGGAAGTTTACATTCAGCAACCATCAGGCTACGAAGTCAAAGGGCACGAAGACAAGGTGTTAAAGTTGAAGAAGGCTCTTTACGGGTTAAAACAAGCACCAAGGGCTTGGAATAGTCGAATCGACAAGTATTTCTAATAGAATGACTTCAAAAAATGTCCCTATGAGTACGCTCTATATATCAAGATCAAAGATGGAGATATTTTGATCGCGTGCCTCTACATGGATGATTTGATCTTCACTGAAAGCAATCCAAGCATGTTTAATGAATTCAAGGATGTGATGATGAAGGAATTTGAGATGGCAGACATGGGGCTCATGGCGTTCTACCTTGGCATTGAAGTTAAGCCACAAAATGATGGAATTTTCATTTCACAAGAAAGCTATGCAAAGGGGATACTGAAGAAGTTCAAGATGGATAACTGCAAGCCAATAAGCACACCGACAGAATACGGGATCAAGATGTCCAAACATGAAGAAGGCGAAAGTATATATCCAACATTCTTCAAAAGTTTGGTGGGAAGTCTACGCTATCTAACTTGCACGAGGCCCGATATTCTTCATGCAGTTGGATTGGTTAGTCGTTACATGGAATCTCCAACAACCACCTATCTTAAAGCCGCAAAGAGAATTCTTTGCTATCTGAAAGGTACAATTGACTTTGGCTTGTTCTATTCAGTTTCTAATGATTACAAGCTTGTTGGATATAGCGACAGTGATTGGGGTGGAGACAGAGATAATCGAATGAGCACTACTGGATTCGTATTTTTCATGGGAGATATTGCTTTCATATGGATGTCAAAGAAACAACCGATTGTCACATTATCCACTTGTGAAGTAGAATATGTTGTTGTTACCTCATGCGTTTGTCATGCAATTTGGCTTAAAAATCTATTGAAGGTGATAGGTTTGATACAAGAAGAGCCTACCAAGGTTTGTGTTGACAATAAGTCAGCCATTGCCTTAGCAAAGAATCCAGTATTCCATGATCGAAGCAAGCACATCGATATTCGCTACCACTACATAAGGGAGTGTGTTGCAAGAAACGATGTGGAAGTTGAATACGTGAAGTCACAAGATCAAGTTGCCGATATTTTTACCAAGCCACTTACATGCGAAGACTTCATAAAATTAAGAAACTTACTAGGGGTCACAAGATCAAGTTTAAGGGGGTGTTGGATCATAAACTTGATCCATTATGGGAGCCTAAACCCAAACCCAGACTAAGTTGATGTCATTGCTTACATCAATTAGGTGAAGATGTCATTTTTTACATCAATTTAGTTAGGTGAGAGTTAGGTATGTCTCATTTTTTAATGGTTTAAATTATTTTATTTGTGTGGTGTAGGATTGTTCTTAAGTAGTATAAATACCCCTCCCCATTTTAGTTTAAGCATCAAGAAAAATTAAGAGCTTCTAAGTGAGTGAAGAAGCAAAGTCTTATAAGAGTGAGTTGTAGTTCTTGGTTTTGAGTGAGAGTGCTCTTGTAATATTTGTTTGAGTTTCAATAAAAGTTATTTGTGTGAGTGTTTTATTTTCAACAGGCCCTTGGACAGTTTATAGGTGCTATTTGACAATGCAACCGTAGAGTATGACTTTTTCGACGACGAAAAGGTTTCTTTCACATGTAATCGTTTGGGTGAGAATTTCTAAACTGTTGTATCGGTAATACTTGAAAGTTTTATTAAGATGTATTGCAGATGTTATTGGAAAGGAGGTCAAGATAGATAGATTAAATAGTAGTACCTGTGAAACATATGAGCACTTGTTGGGGACATGTCGTTTGACATTGGCGGCCTTTATCCGCAATGAGAATACCGCTAAGGAGGGTCAGAATGTACTAGTGAAAAACTCTGAATTGAAATCCATTTATGGGCATGGATGATAACTTATAGTCGAAAGCGACAGGTTCATCGAGTGGTTGATAATAATAGTAAGAGTAAACAAGTGGAAAGTAATCCATCTGGGTCTCGATTTTAAATCCTTGTTAGTGCAGATAAGGAAGGGAAGAATGGAGGCGATCAAAGTTCTGCTAAGGGACAATAGAATGCTGTGGCAAGTCTGCATGAGAATAGTCTGAGTGTGAATGTATCAACGTAGAAGGTGTTTTGTAAACAAGCTGGCAAGAGTAATACCACAACAAGTATGCATGGGAAAGCGAAATCGTGTGATAATGAGGGTCGTAATAAGGAGAATATGTCGATGGATGTACCTTCTATTCTATTTCCAGACACCACCAGAGACCCTATTATTGATAATCATATTATTTCGGTTGGAAATGGGAAATATTCAACTGTGTCTTTCGTGAAGGAAAAAGGAAAAAAAACAAGGGGTAAAGTTGCGCATCAGTCCAGTAAAAAGGGAAGAAATTTGAAGGTGAGAGTGGGGGTGAATCGCAAAGGGCTCAAGCTGAAGAAGGCTATTGACCCACGTGCTCCTCTTCAACCATTGCTAGCTTATTGGTTTCAGTCCCTTGACAAACAATTTGGCCATACTGTTTGAATACAAGAATCAAATGGAGCTTCTTAATCAAATCTGACAGGTGGTTCTTCTGTTATTTTGTCTCATAATATGGATATGATTGTGGAAAATATAGCTAGATTGCCTAATCCAGAGACATCGACTAATATACAAAATCAAGATGGTTCGACCATCTCGTTGACTCAGTAAGGGTTCTTGCCTTGTCTTTTTGTAGACACACTTTTTTTGACCTATTATACTTATATATAATATATATATATTATTATCATTATTGTTATTAAACTAACGTTTTTTATTTTGTGCAGCCCAAGGCCCATTACAAAACAACAAGCCCGTTTACAAAGTAAAATCATTAGCCAAAACACAAGTGGAGATCTGCGACTTGGATCCACTGGAGTCACTGACCCGAACAAACCCCAAGGTAACCTAAATCAACTAAGATTTAAAACCCTATCTTCTCACTTCTCTCCATAAGCGCCGCAACAGCCATACGCGCAAAAAAATCCTCCCCAGCCGCAACCATTCGGTCAACAAGGCCCCCAATTTTCTCAGCGACGTGTACTCGTGGGACACAACAACAACCAACAAACAAGAGTTACAGTTCACATAAGACTCAAAAAAATCGGAATTAAAAATAGGTTTTTTAGACTATAAATAAGCATGTAAATCAGAAAGAAGAGGAGACAAGAAATCACAAAAGAAAATAGGCAAGAACTTGTAATTTACGAATGAAAGAGCAATAAGAGAAGGTATTTTTTTACCTTGATCCGCTGCCATCTTTGTTTACACGTGGTCTTTATTTTTTTTCTTTTTTCTGGTTCGAACGAAAAGCCGATGAAAAAGGGGAAGTTTTTCGAAAGTTCTCTCCTAGATATAGTCTCCCCCGAGGCATTTTTGAAAAAACCAAGTTGATTTTCGAAAGGAGGGGCAAAAAGCTTTTTAAAAATGAATTTCTTTTGTTGGTCGGTGCCGATCAACTACGGCCAGCAAGGCGACGATCCACCGAAACTTGGGTTTGGGGGTGTCGTGTTCTTCATGATGAAGAACACGTTTGAATGTTTAAGAAAATTTTGGGGGTTGATCGGTTTGGAAAAATGAAAATGAAATGGGGTGTTTATGATTTTTGACATTTATATTCGACCCATTGCCGACCCGCGACCCAACCCGCCCTCCCCTAGACCCGTGTGTTTTCAATTTAAAAGGGGAGAATTCCAGTTTTTGCCCTTTTAATTTTAAAACTCTTATTTTACCCCTAAATCCCCATTTTGGCTTCGATTTCCTTTCAAATTGTACCATTTATTTTATTTTCTTTTAATTTAGTCATTTACTATTATTAATATATATATTGTTTTTATTTTTATTTTTAATATCTTTATTATTTTTAAATTTTCTTCTTCCCTTTTTGGTTTCTTTTTTTTAAATTTTTTTCTCAACGTTTTAGCTATGTATATATATATATTTATTTTATTTATTTATTTATTTGTTTTATTAATATTTTAATGTGTATATATATATATATATATATATATTTATTTTATCATAATTGTTTTTTTCTTTTTTTATTTAACTTATTAAATACTATTATATGTATGTTTTATTTTTATTTTTTCTATTCTATTCTTATATGTTTTCTTTTTCTTATTTTGTTTCTGTTTTTATCTTATTCAATTTTATTTTTTTCCTTATTGTTATTGTTATTGTTATTCTATTTTGTTTCATTCATTTTTTATCGTGTTTTATTTTCTATTTTTAGCTTATTTATTTACTTATTATTCGTCCTTCTTCCTTATTTTTATTTTTACTTTAATTTATTTTTTTATTATTTTTAGGGTTTTTTTATAATTTTATTTTATTTCTTTATTTTAGTAAATGTTTATATTTAACCTTACAATTAGCACCGTTATTTTTTATTTTTTAGAGTTTGTTCCTTACATTAATTTTCATTTGCTATTTATTTTAATAAGAGTAATTTGTTTTATTTCTCTTAATCCCTCAACATGTACATATTTTTTTAAACGTCATAATTTACCTCTTATTCTTTCTTTTGGATTCAGTACGTCTCTTTATCAATCTAATGTTTTAAACTTTTTAAGGGTATTCGTCTAAACCGATCGAAGGTAAGTAATATGGATCATATTTTCCCTTTTAATTTAAATTACAATTTTCTTAATTAAGACAACTAGAAATTAATTAGTACCGAAAGAGCTGTTCAGGGGTGCTAATCCTTTCTTGACTGTAACTGACTCCTGAATCTGACATATCTTTGGTAAGATGTAGATCATGTAAGAAATCGAGGTATCCGATCAGCCCATTTTGTTCTTAAAATAAATGATCGGTGGCGACTCTAACTATTTCATTCAAGTTGAAGCCCAATTCTGGATCCACCCGAAAGACAGTCGCGACACTTTTAATCATTTTTTAATGATTAGTTTTCTTCTATGAAATTGTCAAGGAGTAACTAGCTCCGATTTCAGACGTTATTTTAAGAATTGTAGTCTTTATCATAAACCACAAGTGGTGATATTATTTAAATCCCGGATCAGTGGTGTTAGCGCAGATAGAGTAATTTCAAGACTGGGCTTTCAGAACAATTTTCGTGTGGAGGCAATTGGTTTTAGCGGTGGCATTTTGGTGTTGTGGTCGGACCCAATACAAATTGATATTTTATGCATCTCTACTCAGTTTGTGTATGGGCGTGTTTGGGATAATGGGCTCCCTCAGTGGCTTTTCTTTACGGTTGTATATGCTAGTCCAAATGTTACCAAGCATAGAGCAATTTGGGATCTTCTTTCTCAGTTAAATCTTGGTAGTTGTGAGGCGTGGATGTTGGGGTGATTTTATCTCGACTATCAGAACCGAGGGAACATTTGGCAGTAATTCCAACGACAATGGAGGTAGTCAGCTTTTTCGTGATTTTATTAATGATTTGGCGCTTTTGGAAGTAGAGTTTAAATGAGCACAGTTCACTTGGAAGCAGGGAAGGTTGTGGAAGTGTCTAGATAGGTGCCTTATCAATGAGAGATGGGCTCGTTTTCCCCCATTGTTCATTGTTACTCATTTAAACATAGTGGGTTCTGATTATTGTCTCATTCTACTTTATGTTTTGGTGGTCAATAATAGGGATTCGAACAAACCTTTTTACTTTCTTGTTGTTTGGTAGAAGCATTCTGGTTTCTCCGAGTTCATTTCTAATTCTTGGGATAATAATAAAAGTATTGTGCCAACATTGAGGATTTCAAGTTGAGGGTGTTGGGAAATAAATGAGTAACGAGTAATTTCCCTATAACCATACTAGTGAGAATGCGAAATAAAAGCAGAAAAATAATACCCAAAATTGATAACGGAGTTCAGCCAATTATGCCGACATCTCCGGACTGCTGCATATATTTTACTAAAGAGAGAAATTTACAGATATTTACAAAACACTCACAATTCACAAGAAAGCTCTCTAAACTCTTTAGTAGAGGGAGAAAGAAATGATTTTGAAGCTAAATGGGTAAGAGTATTTATAGTTGAAGCTTAGGGAATAATATTTGAAAATACCCTAAAGTGCAATGACTAAAGTGCAATTTACCCATTTTCATTTTCAATACAAAATCTGCCAACTTTGAAATTGTGCACCATTCGGTGCCAAACTTTGAACATGCACCGAATGGTGCAGCCTTATTTGACTAACAATCTCCCACTTGAAGACTGATTTTAATTTGTCTTCACACCTCGATCAATGCAGCAGTATTTTTGTTCTTATTACTCTAGCATGCCAACTGAAGCTGAACACAACTTCAGTTTTTCCGTAGTCATCGCCCTGTACACCCACTTGTTATTGGGTAGTTTCTCCATGATTGTCTTGTCCCTCAACGTCTTAGCTCCCTTCGACTCTTGTCTACTAGTCTTTGAAGGATTGTTCCTCACTTGAACATCCTCGGCAAGCCCCTGCTTCGAACCTTCTCTTATGATGGTCTCTGAAGCCATGTTCTCTACACGAACATGCTCGACAAACTCCTTGGACACGAACAACTCGATCTTGGGATGATCCATCACCTTTGATAACTCGGCTCCCCTCGGGAAATTTGGTAACACTTTTGGCATCTTAAGTCTGTGCCCCCTCGCTTGCTCGACTCTTACCCCCGACTTAGCATCTTTGACACTCGAACTTGTGCCAAGACTACACACATCTTCCTAGATCCATCATCTGGTTCATCATTGAGTGGACTTTCTCTGCCACTCGAGGAGTAACATTCCTCATCCTTCGACTTGCCTTCATCATGGAATCTCTTGCCGCTACCCTCGACTTTCAATTTTGCTTTAGAAATCTTATTCTTTTTGACTCCAAATTCTTTGATGGACTCAGCGGTTGTCAAGGCTTTGGACAACTCCTTGACTTCCCTTTGCTCCAACACTTTCTTTGCCCACGGCTTTAATCTGAACATGAAGGTGAAGAACCCATCTTCTTCAGTCAAACTTGGGACTTTGAGCATGAGTCTTTTGAATCGGCTCACATACTCCTTAAGTGTCCCTTTATGCCTAAGACGCCTCAACTTGGACCACACCTCCATCCTGGCATACCGTGAACAGACTTACTCACTTTGCACCCTCGGCTTGATGGCTTTATCTCTTTCTATTGCACCGGGTCCTGTTATGTGCTCGACTGCTTTGACACATGTAGTCTTGCCATGCCTCGCTCCTCGATTTACTACTTGTGAACTTGTAGTCGCACAATCCTTGCCCCTTGATTCGACTACTTTGGAACATGTAGCCTCTTCAAGTCTTGCCCATGCCTTGATTGCTTGGATACTTGCAATCTCGGGCTTTATTCCGGGTTCGACTACTTCAACATCAACATCCTTGCCTTATATTATTCCTTTCTTGGCCGCATTGATCTCATCAATCGGGTTAAATCTTTTTCCTGGCTTGGTAGCTTTAACACTTGCGACCGCGCCAATTCCCGCTACTTCTCCTTCTTCCATCCTCTTCATGATGGCTGTAAGACGACGCTTCTCGGGATATCCTCTAATCAAATGAGTACCATCACAGAAGTAGCACTTCAAGTTTTCCTTGCTCCCCTTGTTTTTTACACCGGACTTAGCCTTGCCATTTTTTCCCGATTGCTTTCCTTGGCTACGAACAGTCGATGGCTCACCTTGGTCATTTAAAGAGCTTTCTCTACCATCTCTCTGTTGCACCTTTTCCCGGTCTCCACCATTGTTGCCACTATCTATGGGCATGAGCCTGGCCGACACATCGCTACTTGGCTTGTCACCTGCAAGCTCAGTCAGCTTTTCGACTATAGCTATGGCCTCCGAAAGTCTCTGGGCATCACTTTGCTCTCCCCGAGCATCGCCCCTGGTCTAAGTCCTTCCAAGAAGGCATTGAGTGCATCACATTCACTCATTGCTCCCTTGCATATGAGCAGCTCCCTCTTAAGCTCATCAACTTCGTTTCTCAAAGCCATCGCTCCCACTCGAATATGGCATCTTTTGGATAATTTTTGACAATTCTTGCAAACCACCGTGTATTAGAACACCTCCGTCGACAAACTCGTATCATCGACAAAAGTTTACTATTCACGAAATTTACTATTCACATGAATAGTAACCTCACAGAAAAACCGACAAAATTCACAACCAAAAGCTCTGATATCAGTTGTTGGGAAATAAATGAGTAACGAGTAATTTCTCTATAACCATATTAGTGAGAATGCGAAATAAAAGCGGAAAAATAATACCTGAAATTGATAACGGAGTTCAACCAATTATGTCTACGTCT